ATGAAGGGCCCCATGTCTATTATCAGAACCCTTACTTAATCAGGTTTGGTCTTATCAGGTTTTTGGTGTCAGATGTGACTTGGCCCACACTTCTGCTGCAGGCAGAGAGGTGGAGTGGAGAATTTTCATATTTCCTTTCTGACTTTAAGGTATTGTACACACTTTGAAACATTTTTGAGTCTCTGAGCCCTAGAGGTCCCTGGACACTTCCTGCAGTAACTACTGGATTAGATTACCAACCACTCAATGTATGTGGAAATTAAAATAGAAGAACATCCCCTAAAGCCTGTTACTGACCTCAGTATGCAGTTATGAAAATGCAGTCAGGAGGGTCCCTAAAGGCACACGCTACCATTTAAGGGCAAAGGGAGCCTTACTTTATCCACATGCTGAACACAATGGATTATCCAAACATCTCTGTCCCCTGAACTTGGATGAATTATCACTTGAATGGGACAAAATAATTACATAATAGTGGAAGTCATTGTTTTTCATGAGGAATGTTGCACTCTTTTAGATTTGGTCTAGATTGCACCCAGCCATTTCAGACTGTTAGATTCCAAAATCTTTGAGTGAACTGATTTTTCTATGTCTGAAAGAAAAACAAACAAAAATCAACATATTTTATGGCAGCTACTCCCTATAGGGCCTGTTTTAAATCTGTCCTATCTTTAAATATGTCCTCAGCAGATGATGCTTCAAAATATACAATTAAGGCCTCAGAAACTATTTGTATTCTCAGGCAGGTGGCAAATATGTTGCATTTAATGACACATTTTTGTCAAAATTGGAAGATAATATCAGACTGTAGCACTGAATGACATATGCAACCTAAAAGCATGGATGAACTTAAACATACAATATGTAATTTTTTACTGCTAGGGGGCCTCTCACCTCAAGACAATAACAAAAGATAAAGTTTGGTCACTTGAATCAGTGTGGAATCATGGGAGTTGTTATCTTCACCACCGTTGCTGTCATTTCAGTCTCCCAGTTTGTTCATGGTTCAGGAGGTCAGGGGGTTTCTACCGGAGCCCAATTATCCACAGAGGTCTCCAATCCGAAACAAACAGACCCGCTGATTAAAACGGCTAAAGCAGTTCCACCTTAAAAATCACTGTTTCTCCCATGCTGTTGGGCAGACAAAGGACGTCCCGGAGGGGCTGCGA